CTGCGAATACGAATAACTGATAGGCTAACGAGAATAAGAATGCCAATTTCGGAGTACAGAACACATTACTCATTATGCGTTTTTGCATATTTATGCAAGTATATATATATATATATATATATTTGTGTGTTTCTGCGTGTTTGTTCACATTTTGTTAAATACTTTCAAGTCAGAAACCGGAGAAACTAGGAAGCTGAAAATTTTTCCACCATATCGCGTTTTAAAATAGATATTCACGCACGCTCAGGTTTCACATACAGATCTTGAAACAAAACCTAAAAAACCTTCGGCAGGAAACCGATTTCCGAAGCCAGACAAAAAAGAAAGCTGAAATTTCACAGGGTTGCTCATGACCTTCTGTGAGCTAGACTTCAAACTCACCTATAATGCATGCTTACTTCACACATACTGATGCATCAAAACTGGAATCGAAACATTTTTGGTAAAATACCAACTGGAGGACCAGAGTGAGTAGAGTGTCCTGATATTATAAGAATATTCATTGCCTGTATGTGTGGCGCATAAGTGTAAAATAATAAACTTCAGTAAATGCCTGTGTTACACGCTCTGATATGTCAAAGACACTTGTAACGAAAAGCGATTTCGTCAACCAGTCAAGCTAGGAAGCTGAAATTTTACGAAGATATTCTATACCCATGTACGATTTCAAATTCAACTTTATAGCACGCCTAAGTTTTATGTGCATGCAAATGGAAGTACACTCCAAGACGCCGCTGGCACCCAAACAGCCAGGTTGAGCAGAAAGCAGTATTTTCCTGAAGATGTTTGTTGTTAATGGGCGGGCCAGCAAAGAAAATCTTTGCTAACGCACGTGCCTTCCGAGCAGACACATCAAGTGCTCAAACCGCAACACTGCCGTCATCTTGCGCCTGCCGCATTCACGTGGAAAAGAAATTTGAAAATTTATGAGAATTCTGCCTAATTCTGTGGAGCATGAAAAACATACAGCAACTTTCACGCACTCTAACGTCTCGCATAGAAACAGAACAGATTTCAGATTGCAAAAACGAATGATCGCACTGGTAACATTGCTTCACATCACTACTGACTATTCATTTCACAACCCTTTATTTTTTAACACAAAACAATTACCACGCTTAGTCAGACTTTCATCATCGGGCCCTCAACGTTCACCGTTAAGACCTCCCCGCCGCATCTGTCAGAAGCAGTAGCCCCATCTCACTATGCAAACGTTGATCATCCAAAATCATCACGCCTATACAAGAAATTAAGCGCATCAGATTACCCCGATGTCGTCGCATAGCAGGCCACTGGCCACCGAATTGATACGCACACCGAGCTCATAGCATTGATGCGGGCCCTTCTCCAGCAACGCATCCAGATATTCACGCACATTACGGCGGGCTTCTGCTTTTGCACTGAGAGCAACACCATCTTCTAGTTCAAGCACAACACAGTCAGCCTATAATGGAGTGAGAGACTGAGTCTCGCCTTATCTCCCTCATTACAGAGTTGTCCATAATCCCAAAAGCGCATAACCACACCGGATTCTTGAGCTCATTTCTGTTCATCTGCTTCCCCACGCATAGTACTCTCTGATTTTTACGAGTACTCGGGAAGTTGTGTGTTCGATGGAAGAACGCACGAAACGGAAAAATTACCTGAATAGGCTAGCTTAAAAGCGAGGGAATGAAGACACTGCCAGCCGATCTAGCAGCAAAAACGCATCAACGACGAATACAGCGGCTTTTTGCTTACTACAGAAGCACCATTTGTCTGACAGTTTTTTTTTTTTTAAACGAATATGGTGCCAAATCGGCTGACTTTAACTTCTGAGTACTCTTTACTTTAAGAAAGCTCGTTGCCTATGCAAATTTTCAGGCACCTCCTGAAGTTTGAGAAACCGCTGATCTTGCAAAGACACCAGCCAACTAGCTGCTCATACAACAATATCTGTGGCTTAAAATTCGACATTATACATCGTGCGCGCGCTTGTCCCACTTACCCCAAGTTAAATTTAAATGATTTTTGGCTCATTCCGTAAATTCGCTGCATGTCACATATTTAGCTCTTGTCTGTTCTCCAGCCATCTCGATAACCTCTGAAAGGGAAATTCTTTCAAAGCCCAAAGCATTAATCTTCATTCACATCACACTGAAGTCCGCAGCAATTTAGAGCTCATTTTAGCACTTAAAGATAATGACACTGAACGCTTCTATGAGGGAACTTGACTGCTAAAGAAGCAAGATTATATTAAGAGAAGCAAGATTATATTTATCCCCACGATCCTTTACCACCAATGCACTTCTAAGCATCTTTCGGAAAACTTAAACGGCAGAAATTTTTTATCAGCGGTGAAATATTCCAAATGTTTATTCCTTCAAACAACACTGTGTTCACACACACACACACGCACACACACACACACGCACACACACACACACCGCACACTCACAAACACACACACGCACCGGACACTAAATTTTTGTGTTGACATTTTGCAGTTTTCAGCTATAAACGTGGGACTTGAATTTTATTTGGAACGGAAATCCGACTATGAAACCACGAAGTACATAGTTCAAATCGCAGCACAGGGCAATGAGGCCTAAGACACACCTTGATTTGCGCCACTTTACTGAGCATCCTTGAACTGCTTGCCGGTACATAGAGAAGTGCACGACGTGGTATGTAGGATCTGGATGAGTCGCCATCACCTGCACCTGGCCCACCTCCTGCTGCACGCTGCCCCTGCACCAGTACTGAGCGTTGATACAGAGCCAGTGCTGCGCGCCGGCCATGTGTCAGGACTGTGCCCTGGGACTGCGCCAGAGAAGCGATAAATGACCGTAGGGCAAAACAGCTCAACATGCGCCTGCAAGTTGACGATATTCGCCCCGCGTAAAACACCTAACATAGCGGTCTGCACAGCGCCCAGTACCTTCAGGGAGAGCATACACCAGGTTACGGTCGACGGCACTCCGCGCGCGCCCAGCTCTTGCTCCAAGTATGCGGCGATTGTATTAGCTGCAAATTCTGGAAAGTCTGACACACCCATGCTCGGCGTCCGGCAACATTTCAGTAACAACAGCAAAATGGGATACTGGCACTGACTGCCCAAGCGGTCCTGATATTCTTGGTATTAACCTCCAAACGCCCGGAAGGTCATGACAGAAGAGGGAGTGAAATTGACTGGTCAAGCTCGGCTCAGCATCTAGGACTGCAATTAGCACCAAGGACTCAACACCGACAAATTCAACGAACCCAGTTTATTTCTAAACAGCACGAGTATGCTTAGGGTACTGACTTGCCCAGTTATTTTCCGGCCATCTGAGGACACTCAAATTTCCCCTGGATATTTTCACGCAGTAATGAAAAAATTGCAAACGTCATTTTGGCGGAACATGCAAGCGAAGTGGGAGATTCGTGGAAACAACATTTTATCAGTACCTAACGAGCGCATAGCGCCAACGGAGACAACAAATCAGTGGATACCCGCGATGAACAGCATAGAGAAAGGCACGAGTGGTCATGAAAAGTGCTCGCTCCATCATCCAACAATCAGAAAGCAATGGTAAAGAGAATCATTCCGAAAGAGATCGCCTGGCACTGCCAGAATAAAACGGAGCGAAAGACAACCTGAGTGAATCTTTGGACAGTCACCTGCCAAAACACATACAAGCAAGCAATCCTTTACAGAGGAAGACAACACTAATGTACGGCAAAATTCCCATGCGTGAAAATATATAAGCATTTGGCCGGACTGAATGACATGCTCGGAAATACAATTTGGAAAAGACATTTCACCAAATAGCATCGCTTTTTCAGCAGTGGCTTACTGGACCGTCTTCCTTCGCTCCTCATGCATAGCAATTTCAGACAGATAACAAATCAAAACGCGAAAAAAATGAGCCCACAAATACTAAATCCATGCTGACGGAGTTAGAACTGAAGCAAGATTACTACTGCCATCAAAAATAATCAAATCCAGGAAACACCCCTCCAGTGACCGGCCACATTATTTACCAGTACAACGGAATTCAGTTCGACAGCAGCACTGCAAAGCAAAATGCACAATGCGTGGTTGCCCTTAACAACCTAAGTCAAAACGCACTACTGCGACGAAATCTCAAAAAAACAACACGGTCTTATTGTTGTGCCGCAGTGCGATAGGTTCGCTTCGCACCTCCTCACTTCCAACCTAATCCCTTCGTCAAGAAGGAAAACTCAATTTAATGGGAGCGAGAACTCCGCAGTTTTGGAGAACAGTACTGTTCGATTCCGTTTGTCGAACCACGCACCTACGCATTGGCCTTATGACAAGAAAACGATTTTGCACGCAGTAAGCTCAATGAGTGATGAAGAGGCAGTATTCGAGATCAAAACACTAGAATGAGGGAGATAAACAGCTGCAGCTCATAGTGATAAACGAAAACGAAAAAGAAACAAATCGGTGAACTGGATGTAACAGGCAAACAAACATCAACAATAATAATTACACAGACTATTAAACAATCATTAAAAAGACGCATATCGTAGCTAGACTATTGTGATACTGCGACAAGCAGTCCAGTATCAACACTTTCGTCCCTATTCCGGTTCTTAAGACGCTGTTACTATTACTACCAAAAATGTGCCCTCCATCACATATTTATCGCCATTTCAAACAGCAAATTTTAACCAATCGTACAAAATGAAAAAAAGTACCGGATTTTCCCCACGGGAATGAAAATATGCCCATAGGGATTCATCAAAAATAATTCCCTTCGTCAAAAAAAAAAAAAAAAACCTTCGAAAGTCGAGGCAAATTTCCTTTTTCAAAAGAAAATCCTATTTTGTTCTTATATACATTTATTCTGTGTTAATTGCCCAGAGAGTCAGGCACAGCATCCCAAAGAACTACAGAGCGATAGCAGAGATCACTTACCACTGCTGAATACGTCACGGTTCATTCAGTGTTCTAAATACAACAAGCGTTGAACCTCCACCCCTACGATGAATGGAAACTGAACAAAGAGCTGCGCCAGCGGAATGCCATCATCACGCTCAGATGATCATTCTACTTGCGCCACCGTCCAGAAAGGCTGACAAAAGTGGGAGTTGATCAGTGCAGCGAACCTCCCTCGAAGGCACATTCCACATAACGAACAAATGGATTGGCCGAGCCGCACCATCTTCATTCGTGTTCATCTTCCTCGTGCAGTTTCTTCATTGAGGCCACAAAATCATCGAATTGCGACTTCTTCTGCTCAAACTGCTCCAACTGAAATAAAAATGCGCCAGAAAACTGTTCATAAAATCTGTTTGTTCGTCTCCACAGCTCCACTCAGTAATAATTTATTCACTCCCCAAGCATCCACCGAAACGTGGCTCACTGCATCCTTACTGGTAGGTTAACTTAATGACCCTCGCTACAGCAGCTCCACACTCAGTCAAATTTTGTCCAGAAGTAGCCAAATCAACTGAGCTGCAAAATGAGTAACGCTCAGCAGGCTAGTATACTGGTGATGTAATTCCACAACCATAGTTACCGCAACAGTGCTGCGTAGGTTTTCTCCACTGCTTATCTCGTCAGCTATTCACAGGCTCCATCCATAAAAGCCCAATCTAAAAAGCGAGGTGACAGGAAAAGCAAAACGAACAAACAACAGCAAGAGCCCGTTACCTGAACGCTCAAATTCTCCAAACATGCCGCGGGAAACTGGAAACGTCGTTTAGAAGCTTCTCGAGAAATGCGGAAAACATCAGTCAGATCCCAATTTTCACATGCGAAAGGCATCTGAACGAATGATAATCAGTACAGTTAATTTGCCATTAATGCTCTACATTATAAAACTGCATATCCCTTTCCACTTCCCAAAATTAGTTCACACGCTGTAAAAGTCCTCTCAGTTTTAAACACAACCGATCTAATTATCAAATCGCTCTTCCCTTCGCCCTTATCCCTAAAAAAACTCTGCATCCTTCCTTCCCAACGCCATTCCCCATATGCAATCAAATCCCCAAACACCCAAGCACAAGCTAAAACGCAAAAAAAAATAAATATCGGCGCGCACCAGAGCAGCCGGTGCGACCATGCGTTTTGTGCAATTTCGTCCGCCGAACGATTGCCTGCTAATGACTGTCACTGCTTTGCACTTTGACCTGTGCAAAAAAAATACTTGAAATGCTGTCTGGTACCTAAACCAATACGTGGAAGCTGAATTTGAAACCTCGAAGGGTGAATATCCTTCAACAATTTTAGTCTCCTAATTTTCTGGTTTTCGACTGATTTTTGCGGCAGAACTTCCACGTCTTCGCACGTGAGAGCTCGGCATACTTAGGAACTGAAATCGAGCTTGTGAAGCCCCTGCTTAGGCAGGAAACATCCTCCCAAAATTTTCAGCCTCCTAGCTCCTTTGGCTTCCGAGATAATGACTTTTCCCGCTAAAATTTTCACAGAGATGTTGAAAATTTACGGAGCCGTGTGTGGGACAGGGACGGCACGCTAAAACTTTAGCTTTCTAGCTTTTGTAGTTCACGAGATAATAATTCCCCTACCAAAACTTTCACGGGGCCGTACGTGGTACCCAGGGGTGTGTAAAGGCTGAGTCCAAATCTGCTCGGTCGTACGTTGTAGAGTGCACCACTAAAATTTCCTAGCCTCCATGGTTCTCGAGATAATAATTTTCCCCGCCAAAGCTTTTACGGGACCGTACGTGTTACCCGCGGGCACAGGGACGTTGAATTTAAATTTGCGGGGTTAAAAGTAGATAGGGGACATTCCTCTAAATTTTCAGCTTCCAAGCTTTTGCTGTTCCCCAGTTAAAAATTGCGGACAAGTTGCTACGGCCACATAAACACACAGACAATCCCGTGACAATATGCGTTTTGTACTTATGTTCTACAGCACAAAACGCATAAAAACAGAACTCGCGCAGATGGCGGGAATTTTTCGCGTAGCAAAGCATAAACATTCTAAGACAGTTAAAAGAGTGGACAGAGGAGAAAAGAAAAAAAAAAGGAAAATGCCTATCCCGACACGTGTTTCGTTTGCACATCGACTCGACATTCAAAAAATGCCTCAATATAGAGTAATCAGTAGTACAGCAATCGAACTGGAATACCCTGAACGATGAAATCCTGCTACATTACTAATAACGCTCGTTTCTCATACAGCAGTGCACTCTGAGGATCGAAAACAATTTATTCGAAGTTGCTAAGAAACGCTAAACAGTGAAGCACCGAACGGCTTGCCACAAAAAAAAAATTGGCCAACGCACGGGCTGCCCGTGCGAAGATGCGTTTTTTGCAGAGTTCCCC